TTTCTCTAATTACATCCAACATGTCGTAACGTTAATCTGTGTCAAAGTTCATCATGGGGTCACGCTGACCCGTCCGGCTGGATTGATCTATTTTCAATGACTTGATTGAATAATTTACCCCCGCCTCAGTTTACCCAGCCCACCACAAGGCAAGCCCGTGGGGGGCGGGGCCGGGCGATTAAAAGAAAACACAAATCACGTGACTCCCGTCCGCTCGGACCGCATCAATCACGGAACCAATGGAGCGTGGAGAATCTATTGAAGCGGCGCCAGCGTACCACAATGCTCTGAATATTTACGTCAGATCGAAGCCAAGAAATTGACCTGCATCGATCTGATGGCGCACACTGATTGGAAATTTTTAATTAAAATGAGCTGTGTAGGGAGGGGGGGGGGGCATTGTGCATAGTCTGATGTGACAGGACTTGATAGGGCAGCATTTGATGGGGCACCATTTGATGGGGCACCATTTGATGAAGCACCATTTGATGGGGCAGCATTTCACGGGGCAGCATTAGGTGGAACATCACCCTGCCCCTCCATGTCGTCAGTCGTCAACCCCGCCCCCTGCCATAAAACCCACCCCCTGCCATCAACCCCGCCCCTCCATGCCGTAACCCCCGCCCCCTGCCATCAACCCCGCCCCCTGCCATAAAACCCGCCCCCTGCCATCAACCCCGCCCTGCCTCTGCCATCAACCCCGCCCTGCCTCTGCCATCAACCCCGCCCCCTGCCATCAACCCCGCCCCTCCATGCCGTAACCCCCGCCCCCTGCCATCAACCCCGCCCCCTGCCATAAAACCCGCCCCCTGCCATCAACCCCGCCCCCTGCCATCAACCCCGCCCCTGCCATCAACCCCGCCCCCTGCCATCAACCCCGCCCCCTGCCATCAACCCCGCCCCTCCATGCCGTAACCCCCGCCCCTCCCGTGTGTGCCGTTAAAAGCTGAAATCACATTGAGTGTTGAATAATTGACCGCGACGCCGGGCCGGCACGCGATGGTCACATGACCCGACCCGTGACTGGACCAGTCCATTATCGGCCGGGAGGGGGGGGGGGTGAGATTTTGGTCAGTCCGACCCCGGGTCAGGCCGGATGTGTCTAACAAGTTTCCCCACAGGAGGGGGGGGACAACCCAACAAGTTTCCCCGACACCGCGGGTTCGAGTCCATCTGAGACGACGTTGCTAGGATCAGAGACACAGCGACGTGCCGACATGCTCATTGTCTGCTGACGGCATCAACCAGCACACACAGAGCTACATCAACACGGTCTGATCCGACATGCTGAATGTCTGCTGACGGCATCAACCAACACACACAGAGCTACATCAACACGGTCTGATCCGACATGCTGAATGTCTGCTGACGGCATCAACCAACACACACAGAGCTACATCAACACGGTCTGATCCGACATGCTGAATGTCTGCTGACGGCATCAACCAACACACACAGAGCTACATCAACACGGTCTGATCCGACATGCTGAATGTCTGCTGACGGCATCAACCAACACACACAGAGCTACATCAACACGGTCTGATCCGACATGCTGAATGTCTGCTGACGGCATCAACCAACACACACAGAGCTACACAACACGGTCTGATCCGACATGCTGAATGTCTGCTGACGGCATCAACCAACACACACAGAGCTACATCAACACGGTCTGATCCGACATGCTGAATGTCTGCTGACGGCATCAACCAACACACACAGAGCTACATCAACACGGTCTGATCCGACATGCTGAATGTCTGCTGACGGCATCAACCAACACACACAGAGCTACATCAACACGGTCTGATCCGACATGCTGAATGTCTGCTGACGGCATCAACCAACACACACAGAGCTACATCAACACGGTCTGATCCGACATGCTGAATGTCTGCTGACGGCATCAACCAACACACACAGAGCTACATCAACACGGTCTGATCCGACATGCTGAATGTCTGCTGACGGCATCAACCAACACACACAGAGCTACATCAACACGGTCTGATCCGACATGCTGAATGTCTGCTGACGGCATCAACCAACACACACAGAGCTACATCAACACGGTCTGATCCGACATGCTGAATGTCTGCTGACGGCATCAACCAACACACACAGAGCTACATCAACACGGTCTGATCCGACATGCTGAATGTCTGCTGACGGCATCAACCAACACACACAGAGCTACATCAACACGGTCTGATGTCTCGCGCTGGTCGATGAAGAAATCAATCGCAACATGCACGGGTCGATCAAGACACAATTCACACAAAAACTTACTTCAATTGTCCGATACAACAGACAGCCCGGGGGACGGGCAGAGGGAGGGAGGGGCAGGGCAGGGCCGTCTTACCCATTAAGTACAATAGGACTGAGCCTGGGGCCTAAGGAAGTCAGAAAATTCGAGAAAAAAAAATGACGTGTTCGAGACGACTAAAGCTTGAGATTTTTTCCCCGCTTAAATTAAATGCAACCAACAGCTTTGTTATATAAACATTACACAATGCAACCAACAGCTTTGTTATATAAACATTACACAATGCAACCAACAGCTTTGTTATATAAACATTACACCATGCAACCAACAGCTTTGTTATATAAACATATTGGTGTTAGTTAGTGCAGGTGTTAGTTGGGCCAACTTTATATTGTTGTTAACTTTATATTGTTTTTAACTTTATATTGTTTTTAACTTTATATTGTTGTTAACTTTATATTGTTTTTAACTTTATATTGTTGTTAACTTTATTTTGTTGTTAACTTTTTATTGTTAACTTTATATTGTTGTTAACTTTATATTGTTGTTAACTTTATATTGTTGTTAACTTTATATTGTGCTAACTTTATATTGTTGTTAACTTTATATTGTTTTTAACTTTATATTGTTGTTAACTTTATATTGTTAACATTTTGTTAAATTTCTCCCTGCGCATTCTGCTTGCGCACGATTTGATTTGACCGGCCCTACACCACGTGACCACGCTAAATGTAAACACATTAAAATTCTCGCGGGCCGTGAGTGCTTTCATCGTCTGCCATAGCACGTGTTCGCCGATACACATCAAGGTCACTGGGGTTATCTGACGTCATCACCTTTATCGCCCATCTTCAAACAGTGTGACACTTCTTCTACGGCGTGATACTTTACACAACGTGACATCTTGCACGACGTGATACTTTACACGTGACATCTTGCATGACGTGATACTTTACACGTGACATCTTGCATGACGTGATACTTTACAAGTGACATCTTGCACGGCGTGATACTTTACACGTGACATCTTGCATGACGTGATACTTTACACGTGACATCTTGCACGGCGTGATACTTTACACGTGACATCTTGCATGACGTGATACTTTACACAACGGGACATCTTGCACGGCGTGATACTTTACATAACGTGACATGTTGCACGGCGTGATACTTTACATAACGTGACATCTTGCATGACGTGATACTTTACACGCGACATCTTGCACAGCGTGATACTTTACATAACGTGACATCTTGCACTGGGTGATACTTTACACGTGACATCTTGCACGGCGTGATACTTTACACGCAACATCTTGCATGACGTGATACTTTACACAACGTGACATCTTGCACGGCGTGATACTTTACATAACGTGACATCTTGCACGGCGTGATAGAATGTGAGCTGGTATATATCGGACTCGGCGTGGTCGACCTGTAAAGCTCATGGCTGCTAATGTTCAGAGTTCGAACCCTGGCTGCTAATGTTCAGAGTTCGAACCCTGGCTGCTAATGTTCAGAGTTCGAACCCTGGCTGCTAATGTTCAGAGTTCGAACCCTGGCTGCTAATGTTCAGAGTTCGAACCCTGGCTGCTAATGTTCAGAGTTCGAACCCTGGCTGCTAATGTTCAGAGTTCGAACCCTGGCTGCTTTTGTTCAGAGTTCGAACCCTGGCTGCTAATGTTCAGAGTTCGAACCCTGGCTGCTAATGTTCAGAGTTCGAACCCTGGCTGCTAATGTTCAGAGTTCGAACCCTGGCTGCTTTTATTCAGAGTTCGAACCCTGGCTGCTAATGTTCAGAGTTCGAACCCTGGCTGCTAATGTTCAGAGTTCGAACCCTGGCTGCTAATGTTCAGAGTTCGAACCCTGGCTGCTAATGTTCAGAGTTCGAACCCTGGCTGCTAATGTTCAGAGTTCGAACCCTGGGCAGGTGAGGCTCGATAGCTGGGGACAGGGAGCCATTTAGGAGAGACAACTGCTGCTGTAGTTTGTTCTTGGTTGGACAAAGGCTATGGAAGCTAATCAAACAACTGCTGCTGTAGTTTGTTCTTGGTTGGACAAAGGCTATGGAAGCTAATCAAACAACTGCTGCTGTAGTTTGTTCTTGGTTGGACAAAGGCTATGGAAGCAAATCAAACAACTGCTGCTGTAGTTTGTTCTTGGTTGGACAAAGGCTATGGAAGCAAATAAAAAAAAGGCTGAAATTGGAGTCGATGGCCTCAACGGCGCAGTTGACAAGTAACAAAGTATTGTGTAGGAGGGGAGCCTGTCCAACATTACGGTTGGAAGAAGGGCTGTCTTGGTTTGGTTTTGGCGACAATACGCGTTTTCTAACAAATGGCCCCATACAAACGGCCCCATACAAATGGCCCCATTCAAATGGCCCCATACAAATGGCCCTATACAAATGGCCCCATTCAAATGGCCCCATACAAATGGCCCCATACAAATGGCCCCATACAAATGGCCCCATTCAAATGGCCCCATACAAATGGCCCTATACAAATGGCCCCATTCAAATGGCCCCATACAAATGGCCCCATACAAATGGCCCCATACAAATGACCCCATAAAAATGGCCCCATACAAATGGCCTCCGTTAAATTTACCTTCTCAAGTTTGAGGCCCTTTAGTGTTACAGTATGAAGGTATTTTAGGCCTAATTTAAACACAATTAAAATTATGTTAATTTATGCTAATGAAGTTTTGTTTTTCTACTCTACAGTCTCATAAACGGATTTATGACGTCGTCGATGAGCAATAATTTGTAAGTTGAAATTTTCATCTTTTATTTCAGTTGAAAATGTTCATCTTTTATTGACTTGCTGTCAAGTTTTGAGTTTGTCTGTCAAGTTTTTAATTTGTCTCTCTGTCAAGTTTTTAGTTTGTCTGTCTGTCAAGTTTTTAGTTTGTCTGTCTGTCAAGTTTTGAGTTTGTCTGTCTGTCAAGTTTTTAGTTTGTCTGTCTGTCAAGTTCTTAGTTTGTCTGTCTGTCAAGTTTTTAGTTTGTCTCTCTGTCAAGTTTTTAGTTTGTCTCTCTGTCAAGTTTTGAGTTTGTCTGTCTGTCAAGTTTTGAGTTTGTCTGTCAAGTTTTTTGTTTGTCTGTCAAGTTTTGAGTTGAAAATGTTCAGCTTTTATTGACTGGCTGTCAAGTTGTGAGGTTTTTTATTACAAGTTGACGTATGTCACGTATGTCACGTATGTGACGTATCTGACGTATGTGACGACAACAGCTCGACTCAGCCTTATCGGGTTCCTGGCAAAATGTCCGACCAACTCAGGTGTCAGGATATTTTTATCTGGTTTAAGCTGGAAACAAATGTTTCCACTGGGGATTAGAACTCAGGACCTTGGGATAAGATTTGCGTACATACCACACAAAAAAGGGCCGGCAATCTTGGGGCGGGTAACAGCCAAGGGAAGATAACTGTTATCAATACCAGAGAAATGAAGGGAAACAACCCTGAGTTATCTGCCTTTTACAGTCAATTATCGCGCTTAGATAAAATTGTTGCATTTTTTTATTCCGACGTTTGTGAAAAGTTTCAAACTCCGCCATTCCAGCGTGCTGCGTAGGGGGATATAAATAGCTCAAGCCATAGTAGAGCTCATGGGTAACCCAGTTAGGTTAGGTTTTGGGGGGGGGGGTGTTTGTGGGGGGACCACTCACACGACAGTATGAGGTACCCAGCTGGGTTAGGTTTTGTGGGGGGGGGGGGGGGGGGGGGGTGGGGGGGGGGGTGGGGGGGACCACTCACACGACAGTATGAGGTACCCAGCTAGGTTAGGTTTTGTGTGTGGGGGGAGCGGGGTTGATGGGTGTTTGTGGGGGGGGGGGGGGACCACTCACACGACAATATGAGGTCATCAAAACCTCCAGAAAACTGCAAAAGAAGAGCTAAAAACTTCAAACTGAGCTAAACCTACTGAGCTAAGCCTACAGCCAATAGTTATGTGAAAACCCCCCTCCACCACCCCTCCCCAACTTCTCACCTACTCTCTGCTCTACCGTCGATAAAAAAACAACTTTAAAAAAAACCTGTTCAAAATGTAATCACTGAATAATTGTAAACAAACCTGAGGGTCATGTGACTCGAGCATTTCTCCCATCCCGCGCAGTACAATTTCTGCGTCTACGTTCTTGAGGGTAATCAACAGGGATGGACTTATCCTCTATCAGATAACGCGCTATGACTTGGACATTTCTGTTTTATAATCTCCCCCCTTCTACCCCTCACCTCCTTCACGCCGCCATTTTTATGCGTGTACCTCACTCCTCGAATGTTAATCCTCAAAAGTTGGAATTTTTTTTTAAATGCCTAGTGACTCATCGCGTTTTGTAGCGACGCCAGTTTGTGTGGGGCGGTGTGGGGGTGTTTGTGTGGGACGGTGTGGGGGTGTTTGTGTGGGACGGTGTGGGGGTGTTTGTGTGGGACGGTGTGGGGGTGTTTGTGTGGGACGGTGTGGGGGTGTTTGTGTGGGACGGTGTGGGGGTGTTTGTGTGGGACGGTGTGGGGGTGTTTGTGTGGGACGGTGTGGGGGTGTTTGTGTGGGACGGTGTGGGGGTCGGTGTGGGTGTTTATGTGTGTGACGGTGAGGGTGTTTATGTGTGTGACGGTGTGGGTGTGTTTGTGTGGGGCGGTGTGTGGGGCGGTGTGTGTGGGTGTTTATGTGTAGTTGTGTCAGTGATTTTCTGTTTTTGTATGGCTGTCGTTGTGTGGTTGTGGTCATGTGGCTGTGGTGTGTGGCTGTCGTGTGGTTGCGTGGCTATACCCCTGAACCACCTTGTGAGATACCAACACCACACCGACCACGTCTTGTCCGTTGTATCAAGTACAAATTGCTGCGTTGCCGACATAATCGTGTCTGTTGGGGTGGGGGGTGGGGGGGGGGGTTCTATCAGAACCATCAATTATTAACTAACTCTAACATTTGATCAGGAAATAGAAAAATTCTGTAAATAATTGATTGCCCCTAAACGAACTGAATCATTGGTTTAGTTCAACCGGTTGCCGGCATCAAATAGTTCCGGCAAAACTTGCTTTAACTAGAAGTCAAACTGGCTACAGCTAGATCCGGCTAGCTCGGCTGGCTACATCGGAATTAGCAGACGACTTGTACGACGGCGGGCAGCACACGCGGCTAATCTCAGAGCAGTAATCTCGTCTGCTCAATTATTGAAATCTGGGGGCCCGCGTCACGCGCTGGTGTAAAGGGAAGCAGCGGCCTATTTACAGCACGACGCCATTTTGTATTTACAGCACGACGCCATTTTGTACATCTGAAGTAACATGAGCTTAAGGGCAGCACGGTTAGCCTGAGGCTGAGTGGTCAAACTGGCCGCTGGTCTGGTGGGTGACGCAGGGAGTGGGGGGTTCGCTTCTGCCATTAAGCGCGGGAAAGGTTACAGCAGACGACCGTCTCAAGCATGTAAACACGATGGTGGGGGGTCAGTCAGATCAAACGGTGAGGGCGTCTAGTCCCTCTACTCTTGGGGCGTCTAGTGCCACTTCTCTTGGGGCGCATAGCTACTTTACTTTTGGGGCGCATAGCTCCTCTGCTTTTGGGGCACCCAGCCACTACACGACACTGGCCAAGAACAATCTAGAAGGCAGCATTTGTTTTTCTCTCTCCTGTTTTGGTTGATGTACTCAGGCCTTTCAGCAAATTTAGTTTCAACGGAAAGATCTGCTCACCAAAAGATTGTTTGGTCTCTTGCACCACATGTTATTCTGACGTCAAATATTTCTGCCTCTCCACTCTTGCCCCCCCCCCCCCACACACACACACAACCCCAATCCCAACCCTCTTGAACTTGTAAGGACAACTCCGCCTCTTGATTTAAACTCTTCCGTTTATTCCAATCCAGCTTTAAATCTTCCGTTTATGCCAATCCATCTTACCATCTCATGTAGCATCTCTCGACCAGTCCCCACTAGACTGACAAGTTTTGTTGATTGAAACTATTATCTTCAGCAGACTCTCTCCCTTCAACTCAAATATTACTTCCCTTCTCTTGAAATAAATATCCCCACCCTCCCCACGGGTTTGGTTTAAAATATGATCAGACACTACTATCAAGGATGGGAGGGTGGGGGTAAGTTTTAATAAGTTTTGTTTTTAAAATATGATCAGACACTACTATCAAGGCTGGGAGGGTGGGGGTAAGTTTGAATAGGTTTTGTTTTTAAAATATGATCAGACACTACTATCAAGGCTGGGGTGGGAGGGTGGGAGGGTGGGGGTAAGTTTGAATAGGTTTTGTTTTTAAAATATGATCAGACCCTACTATCAAGGCTGGGAGGGTGGGGGTAAGTTTGAATAGGTTTTGTTTTTAAAATATGATCAGACACTACTATCAAGGCTGGGAGGGTGGGGGTAAGTTTGAATAGGTTTTGTTTTTAAAATATGATCAGACACTACTATCAAGGCTGGGGTGGGAGGGTGGGGGTAAGTTTGAATAGGTTTTGTTTTTAAAATATGATCAGACACTACTATCAAGGCTGGGAGGGTGGGGGTAAGTTTGAATAGGTTTTGTTTTTAAAATATGATCAGACCCTACTATCAAGGCTGGGAGGGTGGGGGTAAGTTTGAATAGGTTTTGTTTTTAAAATATGATCAGACCCTACTATCAAGGCTGGGAGGGTGGGGGTAAGTTTGAATAGGTTTTGTTTTTAAAATATGATCAGACACTACTATCAAGGCTGGGAGGGTGGGAGGGTGGGAGGGTGGGGGTAAGTTTGAATAGGTTTTGTTTTTAAAATATGATCAGACACTACTATCAAGGCTGGGAGGGTGGGAGGGTGGGGGTAAGTTTGAATAGGTTTTGTTTTTAAAATATGATCAGACACTACTATCAAGGCTGGGAGGGTGGGGGTAAGTTTGAATAGGTTTTGTTTTTAAAATATGATCAGACCCTACTATCAAGGCTGGGGTGGGAGGGTGGGAGGGTGGGGGTAAGTTTGAATAGGTTTTGTTTTTAAAATATGATCAGACACTACTATCAAGGCTGGGGTGGGAGGGTGGGAGGGTGGGGGTAAGTTTGAATAGGTTTTGTTTTTAAAATATGATCAGACACTACTATCAAGGCTGGGAGGGTGGGAGGGTGGGGGTAAGTTTGAATAGGTTTTGTTTTTAAAATATGATCAGACACTACTATCAAGGCTGGGAGGGTGGGAGGGTGGGAGGGTGGGGGTAAGTTTGAATAGGTTTTGTTTTTAAAATATGATCAGACCCTACTATCAAGGCTGGGGTGGGAGGGTGGGAGGCTGGGGTGGGAGGGTGGGAGGGAGGGGGTAGGTTTGAATAGGTTTTGTTTTTAAAACTGTTTGTTTAAATGAAAGGCCATCGGTAACCATGGCAACTAATAGGTTGTACTGGACGGGCGGGTGGCCCCGGGGGGTTGGGGAATCGTCTGAAAGCTTCAGTCACGTGATACGTCAGGCGGCGACTCGGACGCCTGCTGGTGATAGGTATTTTTTCTTGACATCTGGACATGACATCTAGACATGGCATCTAGACATGGCATCTAGACATGGCATGACATCTGGGCATGGCATGACATTTGGACATGACATCTGGGCATGGCATCACATTTGGGCATGTCATGACATCTGGACATGGCATGACATATGGACATGGCATGACATATGGACATGGCATGACATCTGGACATGGCATGACATCTGGACATGGCATGACATCTGGACATGGCATGACATATGGACATGGCATGACATCTGGACATGGCATGACATCTGGACATGGC